TCCAGATCCTATCTATCCTTCACATACTCCATACCATCCATCCATCCAGTCCATCCATCCATGCCATCCATCCATCATGTCCATCCTATGCCTATCCCCTATCTAATCCTATCCAATCCATCCAATCCATCGCATCCATCCATCCATCCATGCCATCCATCCATATACATTCCATCCATCTAATCCATCTATCTATTCCCATAATATCCATCCACTCCATCCATCCATCCATCCAATCCATCCAATCCAGTCCATCCATCGCCATCCATCCATGCCATCCATCCATCTCATCCGTTATCCATTCCTATCTATCCTATCCATCCATCCAGTCCATCCATCCTATCCCATCCTATCCATCCTATCCATCCATCCTCATCCATCCATCCATCGCAATTCCATCCATCCATCCATGCCATCCATCCATCCTATCCAGCTTATCCCTCCTATCCATGGCTATCCATCTATCCAGATCCAGTATTCTTATCTATCTAGCTATTATATTATACATATATATCTTATTCGATCGCCTATGTTATTGACGTATTCTATCACTGGACTTGACAATGGCGCATACTTAACGAATATGACGTTAGCAGGCATATGCTCATTCTCCCTATAGCAAACAAAGTCAACGCAGTATTAGCAGTTCAATTCCAGACTTGGCCTGCGCACAAATCACACACGATGTCTGTGTCATCAGTATCCGGAATCGAAGTAGCAGATAGTGAGCTGATGTCGTGTACGTGCGTGCTGCGTGCGTGCGTGCGTGTATGTATGTGTGGTGTGTGCGTGCGTTTGTTTGTTTGTGTGTGGTGTGTGTGTGTGTGTGTGTGGTGTTTGTGTGTGTGTGTGTGTGTGTGTGTGTGTGTTGTGTGTGTGTGTGTGTGGTGTGTGTGTGTGAGGGGTGTACGTGTGCGTGTGTTGTATGTGTGTGTTGTGCGTGCGGTGTGGCGTTGGCGCGTGTGCGCGCCAGTGACGTTGCGTAGCGTGGCGTGCATGGTGTGTGTGTGTGGGTCTGGTGTGTGTGTATGTGTGTGTGTAGTGCTGTGTGTATTACTGTGGTGCCGGTGTGGCTAAGTGTGTGTGTGTGTGTGTGTGTGTGTGTGTGTGTGTGTGTGTGTTTTCTGTGTATGTGCGTGCGTGTGCGTGCGTGTGTTGTTGTGATGTGTGTCGTGTTGTGTGTGTGTGTGTGTGTGTGAGGCCCAGCGCGCGCGCGCGTGTGTCTGTCGTCAACCATTGCGACTGATGACACTACTTACCTCTCCTGTCTCTTTTCACGTCGCAGGTGGATGGAGTGAGGATGAGGAGGAGAGGAACATGAGGACCTACCTCCGCAGCCGACATTGTGGCGCCTGATGAAGATGAATTTCCTGACGTGGTACTGCAATGATCATCGGTCCTGATGCGCGTGCAGCGGCAAAGCGCTTTGTATGGCCCGGTTTGCTCATCATTTTCTCCAAAGTGGTCGAGGTATATGTTTGCACGTGCATGTGTGTGTGTGCGTGTGTGCGTGTGTGCGTGCTGTGCGTGCGCGCGCCGTGTCCGCGACATGTGTGTGGTGAAGCGGTGCGCGTGTGTTACGGCGTGTGCGTGGTGTTTGTGTGAAGTTTGTGTGGCGGTGTATTTGTAGTGCGCGCGCGGCGCGTGGTGCTAGTGTGTGTGTGTGTGGTTGTGTTGTGTGTGTGTGTGTGTGTATGTGTCTTCGGAGTGGAGAAAGGGAGCAGAGACAGAGATGAGGAAGGTTTGTCTGTTAGCTGCTTGCTGGCTGCTGGCTGTGTTCTGTTTGCTGCTGCTGCCTGGCTGTTGTTGATGGCTGCTGCTGGTTGTTGCTGTTGCTTACTGCTGGTAAGTGGTGGTGGTGGCGGCTGCAGGTGGCGCGGCCGCGGGCGGCGGCTGTGGTGGTGGTTGTGGGCTGCTGGGCGTGCTGCTGCCGGTGGTGTTGTTGTGATGCTGCTGCTGCTGCCGGTGGTGGGTTGTGCTGCTGCTGCTGTGGTGTGGGTGGGTGGCGCGGCGGCGTCTGGCGGTGGGGGGGGGGGGCGGGTACTATACTACGACTGCTGCTGGCTGCTCCTGTCCCCTCCGTTTCCTCCGGCCTGCTGTTGCTTGCCGCTCCCAATTCCGCGATACCGTCGAATTGCGGTTTAGCTCACCATGATTCTATTAGTGCATTAATTTCTTCTCTCACTGCCGCTTGGCGTGTGTCGTCGTTGTCACAGGATCTCTCTTACCATGATTCAGCGTCGCATCGCTGTTCTCTCTCTCACCCACTAACAGGTGTTTGCAGTTTCCCGAGGAGAAGCAGGCGATGCTAGGTGAGCAAATACGCCGTCGGATTTGTTTTACCGGCGGACCGGCTGCTCGTAAACGCAGTTCCCTACAGTAACGTAATCGTTTGACGGTCATTGCGCATGATATGCTCAGGGCGGAGGGAGGGGGAAATGCCCCGCGGTGATGAGTGGTTGACATGTTAGAGTATGTCATAGACGGAGCTGGTGTAAAACAAGGGTTAATTTCCTGGCTGATGCTCATCGCACGAGCCGTGTTGACCGGCACAGCCGCGGCAATGCGCAATCAGACACAACAGTACTGTGTGTGTCACAACAACTGTTGGTGTCGTTTTGCACTGCGTACCGTTCCTTAACGGGTCGAGGGCAGCGCGAACACGCTCAAGGGCGTGTAGATAGCGACTCGAATGCTCCGGCGCTTGAAGCCGGTCTGCGCTTGTTACTGCGTTTTTAATGACGTGAAGTATGACGTTATTTATGACGAAATACCGTAAAATGACGTTCAGTTTGACGTTATAATTTAATTGACGTTTGTTTCTGACGTTTCTAATAAAGAACTTCCTCATCCGCGTGACAGGACTCTCACACCTCGGCAAGGGATTGGGTACGCCAATAAATAATATAAATAGATATAAGGTTATCTATATTATTTCTAAGGTACGAACATCCAATTACGGTCCCCCGTCGCATTCATAAGTCACTATAGATGCGGACTACTTAATATCGGGGCTGGATAAAGCATGGGACCCTTTTGGTCTGCTTTCACTTCATATTACCAAGATTATATCGCCTGCAAGCTATATCTTAGCTGCATCCCGCGAGCGGTACGCTTGACCCCACCGCATCGTTAGTTGTCCAGCTGAGAGTGTGTGTAGTTTTCATTCAGCTCATATACATAGACGTGTAATATTGCTGAAGAAATATAAATCCTGTCTGCTCTAGGCTACGATGTTTGGCTACTCCGGAGCGCTACTGACGATGAGGGTTCGACGCACTATTCCACGCAGACTCGGTCAGGTACCCTACATATGAATCACAATTATATCATGCTGTCGTTCAGCCATACCGTTATGAGTATATCAGGTGAGGAATATCATCTCCCGATTAAAGCCCGCTTAGTTGTTATGTACGTGGTTCATGAATGTACCGAAGGGGAATTATAGTTGAATTCGGTCAGTATGCCTGCATATGCTGGTATGTATAAATGTCTCTGGTCCATATGCCTGGCATGTATGTATACCTGCAGGGAGGCGTATAATGCAATATATCATTATATAACTATGTAAAATATTCATGACAATTTGTCATTATACGCTTCTGATACCTGGATATAGAATACTTACCGCGAATCGAGTTCACGTCAGTTTGGAGTGCATAGCAAGAATACATCCCCTTGTCCGCGCATGGTGCATCGAACAAGTAACAAACATCACAGCGAAATGACGGCTATCTTTAATTACGAGAGTTTTAATGTGGCAGATAATTCCTATATTATCTGTGCTTTTAGGAATAGCCTGGCTTCGATGATCACAAGACAGCGCTCGTAAAGCTGACAACGCGATTACGCGGTCGATGCATCCAACGACAAGGGCGTGATGTGCGGATGTATATATATAATCATATATATATGATAATAATATATATATATATAATAATATATAATTTATCAATATGTATGCACATCCGGTGATTTCGACTAGTCACGTTCTACCACGTTGCGCGGTAACGATTATTCACTTCACACATCCGACGCAGTCAGTTATAATGTCTCCATTGCTTTCAACGTATCGGTCATTGCGCAACGAGAGCAACAATTGAGATACTGTCGTTTTACACACTAGTCCGTGTATCCGTTGTTTGAGCTAGTGAGCACAGATTGGGTATTGTGTCTTACACCACGCGCGAGCAACATACTCACAAGTCCGTGTATTCGTTGTTGGCAAAGGAGCACTTCTTGGGCAATTCTGTACTGTCTCTGTTTTATTATACAGTCGCTGTATCTGTTCTGTTTCGTAGATAACGAAAGGAACTTATACCGTGTGTGTCATCCCGTAATCATGTATCATGTAATAATGTCCATCCTTGCTAAGCTGTCAGGCAACACGAGTTTCCCACAGGGAGCAGGATTTGAAACCAGCGTTTTTACGTTTCCCAAGTCGCAATTATGCAATTATTGCAACAGGAGCACCTTTTGAGCAATGCACTCTCTTTCTGCATATCGATGGTTGTTGTATGCGGCTAAAGAGGCACGTGACACAATGCCACAATCGCTTGCGTTCGTGTTGTTATATGCAACAGGAGCACGTTCTTGACAGCAATGCCTCTCTTTCTGCATTCTGTTGTTATATTGCAACTAGTGAGCAACGTTTTTGACGGCAATGAACTATCACGTCTGAGTTTCGTGTCTGATATAGGGAACAGTAGGCAACGTTTTGACGAAATGCACACTATTGCTCAGTTCGTGTTGATATAGCAACAGGAGCACGTTTCTGACGCACTGTACACGCATCTCCTGTGTTTGGCGTTGTTATAGGCACAGGAGCAAGATTGGCTTCATTGCTGGAACGCGCTATCGTAACTCGGCGTGGATGCTGATGGCTTGCCTGCTATCAGTTGGAAGCTGACGTTCGTCATTACTCGACCGTTCATGCCTGCGGCCTTCTATCGGAGCCGCTCGTAGCAGATGCGCATGCAGCAAGGACATTCTACCATCATAAGAAAGCCATGCAAGAGAGGGAAGAGGTATGCGTCCGGAGAATTTCTCGCGTGCACTCTCTTTAGCATGCTCTCTCCTTCTCTCCTTCTCTCTCAATTCTCTCCCCCTCGTGCGGCTCTATGGCTACCACGTGGGATTTATGTTTGACTATATGGCTGATTTCTAATAATGAATATGCGTGCTTTCTGTCTACATCGTGGCACCTGCTCTCACATTGTTTTTTTCTCACCGTCTCTCGCTTTCTCTCTTGCTCGGACCCGCTCTCTCTATCCTCTCTCTCTCAACGTCGATCTCTCTCTCTCGTCAGATCCCTCTCTCTCCTCTGTCTATCTGGTCTTCCTCCCTCCTATATCCCTGCTCCTCGTTGGAGCGAGGGATCTCTCACGCTCCTTCGCTGGTTGGTTCTCTCTCTTCCCGCCCTGCTCTCATCTCGCTGTCTACCTGTCTTTCCCTCCCTCCTATATCCCTCTCCTCGTAGACGAGGTCTCTCTCTCCTCTTCTCTATCTCTCTCTCTATCTCTGCTAGCTGCTCTCTCTTCTTCTCTCTCTCTCTCTCTGCTCTTTCTCTCTAGCCTCTTGCTCTCTCTCCCCCCTCATCTCTCTCTCTTCTCTCTCTCTCTCTTCTCTCCCCCCCCCTCTCTCTCTCTCTCTCTCTCTTTCTCTCTAGCTCTCTCTCTCGTCCTTTTGCATTCTCCTCATTTAAGCCTGTCTCTATTGAACGTACTTAATTCGTCAAATGTCTGCCACGTGTCTAATTTACAGTTTGCAGCTGAGGCCATCGAGAACATCCGCACGGTGGCGTCGTTGTCGAAGGAAGCCAGTTTCAGCGCCATCTATGAAGAGAAGACGCAAGCACCGCATCGGTAGGATAGGGATGCTTAATACGCGATAATTTTGTTAGACAAAGATATGTGGTTGTTATTAAGTTAGATCAAATACGACCTTCGCTGACACGGACGGGCCAGATAGACGTACATATGCGGCTTCTCCACTACACATGTAATACTATTATGATCACGTGAAACTGAATCCGTGAATATATGTGGATGAATCCATATCCATGATTGGATTCATATAAACGTTTATCGATAAATATTATGAGCTTATACGGATGTAACTATGATTACTCCAATATACTATTCTTTCTAATACGTAAAAAAGATGGAAAGTATTAAATTGGATGTGTCGTATTAGCTTACGGCTGGTACATGTCAGTGTGGATACTATTACAACGTTATCATGTAAATACACATTCTATGAATAGCACATGCATGTTTAGATAGTGTTCCCACATTAGGACGAATGTACGAATGTTAGCATGATATATTTGTCCATCTATGCATGCTCTCCACACCAATCCTATCTCCAATCTTTTTATTCATTATCCACGTCTGCATCTATCTTCTTTTTTTTTATCTCTCCCTTCATCTCACTATCTCTGCATCTATCTGTATCAATATCTCTCTGTAGCTAGGTCACATTTCTCTGCTGTCTATATTAGCGCTATCGCCTCTTATCTCTCCATCGTCTCTGCAGTAACATCATGCGCGTGCAGGCGCACCTCTACGGTGTGACGTACAGCATATCTCAGGCAATCATCTTCTTTGCCTACGCCGCTGCCTTCTCGTACGGAGCCACGCTGATCGACAGGGGAGAAGCCCAGTACCAGGAGGTATTCAGGTAGGGATGGGCATGCAGAGTGCCCGGATGTGTTCGGGTGGGATGGGCAGAGTGCCCGGATGTATTCGGATGGAAGGTATCCGAGTACCCGGATGTATTCAGGTGGAAATTGGCAGAGTGCACAGATGTATTAAGGTGGAAGTTGGCAGAGTACCCGGATGTATTCGGGTGGAAGTTGGCAGAGTGCCCGGATGTATTCGGGTGGAAGTTGGCAGAGTGCCCGGATGCATTGAGGTGGGAAATATTGGTAACCTTCATTTGCGTTTGTGGGCGTGGTCCGTGTTGTAGCTCGCGAGCGTGGAAGGCAATGCTGCGGTAGGCAGTGTCGTGATATTGGCTAAATTAACGCGTAGTGGCTATAGGACTCGCACGAGAATGGGATATCGACATCGCCTGACTGCGTAAATACACAAACGCACACACACATACACGCACACGCCCGCACACACACACGCGCGCGCACGCATGCACACACACGCATACAAACACATACACATACACATACATACAAGCGGGCGCACACACGCACGCACCTACGAACGCACGCACGCACGCACGCCCACCCGCTCGCCCGCTTGTACGCACACACACACACACACACATACACACACACACACACACACACACACACACACACACACACACACACACACACAAACACACGCACCCAAACACGCACACACACTATTCGCTATCACTGGCTTAGTGATTACACGTGCATCTATAACAGGACATTCTCGGCCATCGTGTTTGGTGCGATGGCTCTTGGAGAGAGTGCCAGTTTTATTCCCGACTACTCCAAGGCAAAGACCTCGTCACGTCGCATATTCAAAGTCATCGACAACAAGCCGTCGATTGACAGCTACGCCGAGACCGGCGTCAGACTGGTGAGCGCCATCTGGCGGTCGTACATCAAACGACCCCGTATATTGCTCCATTCAACTTGAATACCCTGTGCTGTTTAACCGACATCTTCGTTATAACGTGACAGACAGCACAAACAATATTAATGCAGCGAATTTTCATGTATGGGGAAATTAGAGAGAGAAAAGCCATAGCTCACAGTTGCAAAGTGACAACTTAGCAAGTGTATAGTTAATCCCATAAATAGATTTTGAACATACGTGTAATGCAAGTGTAACTCTTGAGCGATATTCTAATTGAAGCCTTATACACACTTTATAGAAGCATGTGACGGGTTCGATCACGTTAAGGAATGTGAAATTCCACTATCCGACACGACCAGAAGTAGAGGTCTTACAGGGAATAGATGTGAGCGTGAGACCGAGTCAGACGCTCGCGCTCGTGGGTAGCAGCGGTTGTGGGAAGAGCACAATCATACAGCTACTCGAACGCTTCTACGACCCGCAAGATGGCGCTGTGGTAGGTTTATCAACAAAGACGCGAGCACGTGATGTTTCTTTTAAACGCAGACAGGCGTAAAAATACGTGAAAGAGTGAAGCCATGATAGATTATTATAAATGCAGGGTTCGATGCGTAATAACCTCTTTTAGTAAATGTTGGGTTTTTCACATGATCGCAAATAATAATTAAAACATTATATCGCCATTGCTCATAACCAGAAACGACTTAAAGATAATTATTAAAATTATTAATATTATGATAATCATTATAATTGTGATAATCGTGTATAAATATAGCATCGTTTTGGCAGATGCTGGACGATGAATTCGTGACAGATCTGAATGTTCGCTGGCTGCGCTCCAATATCGGTGTCGTGTCTCAGGAACCGATCCTCTTTGATAACACAATTGCTGGTAAGTGTGTGTTCTTAGCTTGATTCGTTCCCCTTCTCGTTGTCCCTTTCTCTCCTCTTCTCTCTCTCTCTTTCTCTCTCTCTCTCTCTCTCTGTTCTCTGCTTCCCTCTCTCTCTATATCTATATAGCCTGTTCTATCGCTATCTTGCTATCTTTCTTTCCGTTCTCGTTCGCTCTTTTTCTTTCATTCTGTCTTCTTTCCCCTCCCGTCTCTTTCTATTTGTCTGTCAGCGTTGTTACTATACGCGTTGTTATTTACGACGCCACGTTCTTCCGTTCTCAAAGATTCGATGTTGCGGTCGACTGTTTTAACACTTACCTGTAATCTTTGCGTAACACCGACTGAATACAGTAAGACTAGCCTGCATTAGAACAATCACACATCGTTATATTCACCAATATGTTCATCGATGTGCATTTCAAAAGTAGGTTTGTTTACGCAAGTCAACATGTAAATCGCATGTTGCGAGATGCCATAGACAGGTACCCTGTCCCTACACTCTGGCATCTTTGTCTTTATGTCGAGGTGATGTGCCAGTCTAGAACGATCTATGTCACGTAAACGGATGCACTTGTATTCGTTGTAGCATTATCGAATTGCGTTTTCGCGAATCTCGGAAATGCAAGCGTAAGATAATTTGCTGTTCATTGACTATTATACAGCCTATAATAGCATCAGACGCCCCTTGTCAGAAGCAACACTCGTCTTAATATTAGTCTTAATATTAACCTTTTCTCACAGACCGTCGAGAGAAACATGGTAAAGTTACGAGTTTCTCATACGCAGTGTATAGATTTCGGGTCTACGATAAGATGTTAACGTTATGACTATTAATTATACCAGATTGGTTTCTGACAACAGACCTAAGTAATACGTTCACTAACAGATCAGACCGACATGTGCATGTCTACATGTATTTAGTTGTTGATTTATTTATGAAATAATAATTTTAATACAGCGAATACAACGCTGGCCTGCGCTGGTATTATGGTAAGAAATAATTTCCCAGAGGCGACTATATTTGCCACATTTTTTATACCATTAATCAAAAAATGTTTATTCGAGAAATTACAATGCCATTCTCTGAATTACCACCATGATGACCAAATGACCACCATATTATTATGTTGCTTACTCAAATTTTTTTTTCTATTTTGGCTTTTGCAAACAAGCTACTTGTCATCGTGATTTTACACCTAAACACTTATACTTAGAAAACCCACCTGGCAACCACAGGAATGCACACCAAACAAGCCACCCACGCTGTTGGATGCAGCAAAGATTCTAGTTTTTGAAAAATAAAATTATACATTAGCAAGTGTATCTTCTTTCCATTGAGCACTAACAAAAGAAGGCCCACGGATACGCGGCAATTCGATTTGCGCGCGTAATACCCTAAAACTAACAAAACTAAGGCTCCAGACAGCCGTGTGACAACAATAACCAAACACACGCGACAACGTAGCACCGCCATGTCTCTCACCGAGCTCGCACCGTGACCTCTCTCAGCTTCCGTGCAGCCATCCGGCACACTAACTCCAGTTCGCACGCGTCAGTCACCGCTCGCGAGCAAAGTATATTTTCAGGGAGGTGTTTTGCAGACTTACTTTTCTGCTATCTGTGCTTTACTAATACTATTTACACTTATTCATTCTATTCAATGTTACAATGTTACAATGTTACAATGTTGCAATTATTTAATTTACACATTATTTTCAACTTATTACTCTATGTACCAACTAGAATAATGTATGTGAACAATAAATTTTAGTTACTTTAGCTGAAAATCTCGACACTAATCCCGGAGCATGAGTGATATCTACACACTACAGTAGCTGTTGCATCGGCACACATGCCGCTATAGGTCCCGTGTGCAAACAGTCTCACGTAACAAGCTCTATAAGTGGGTGGCAGTCATTAAGGCGTCATCATGAATACTACGACGAAAACGACGACGACGATGACAACGATGATGATGATGATGATGATAATGATGATATTGATGATGATAGTGATGATGATGATGATAATGATGATGATGAATAATGCGTGTTGTGGGGATGCATCTCTGCTAGGAAAGAAATCATAGCAAAGAAGTCCTTTGTCCTCGATTTCCTCATCAGTGTCGCCTCAATCTTACATCCACTTATAAACCTATAAGAGCACGAGAGCTTGAGATTACTATATTAAATTAGCGCATTGAAACGATGAATGCCGCGCGTGCCTTCGTGAAAAGAATAATGGTCACTGCGGATGCAGTATTTTGCAGAAATCTTTTGATTACTTATAATTAGAGCATGTTTTGCTGGCTTATGAGACATGCTGGCTAGCATTCGGCATGGTAATGTGACGTAGATGGCTAAAGTTCGGAGAAATTAGGAAAACATTATGATGATTATGTACGTACGCTACACGAACGCCGTGATTATGTTGCACTTCCATGACAGAGCATGAAGTCGAACAGCCAGTCAGTCAGTCATGATCAGCGCATCCAGTCTCCCACGCTGCACACGACAACGCGGTTCTCGCGAGTTTTCACCAGGCGTTAGCCGAGAGAAGTTTAGGTAGTTTATAACGGCATCGAGTCTGGGTTGTTTTGTTCCCGTTCCCGATCGCTAACGGCATACAGAGGTTTGCAACCGATACATTTTGCAACCGAAAATAACGCCGAATGAATCGGCATTTCGGTACGATAGACTAACTCCGTAGGTTGTTGAGAATCCTCTGGGCTCAGCCACATCGATCTTATGGACCAGTCTATGCCTTTAGATTAGACCAGAGGTTCTTAACATGTGGTCCACGGGACCCTTTGGGAGAGCTTTTACCAGATACTCAAAGAAGTCCATGACTCAAAAAGGTTAAGAACCACTGGATTAGACTGGGCTGAGCTATGGAAATCTCTACTAATAGATGTGGTTTCTTTCAGAGAACATTGCCTACGGAGACAACAGCCGTCCCGTTCCTATGGGCGAGATCATAGAGGTTGCACGCAGAGCTAACATCCACGAATTCATACGTAACCTTCCTCAGGTGGGTCATAGGCTCCACCTTTGTAGAAGCAGTGCCAAATAAACGGGAAGAGACATCACTGTCATTCCCACGACGTTGTCCTGAAATTAATAGAACTACATAGTGCTAACATTTATGGGCTTAAAATCTCCGTTTTAGTTTTGGTTTACTTGGGGGTTGGTTTCCCTATCCTATTGGCCTATTCCGAGATGTGCCTTTACTTTGAGATCTATGTTTCACTCTATTTCTATACATTTCCCGTTCTTTCTGGCGCACGCTCTCTGTCCAACACTATTTGCGATAACTGCAGGCAGATGGTTGTTTGTCAGATGTTATATTCTTATCTTATTTATGTTGTCTGGTATCATAATTATGATAATGATGCTGAGATTATTGCTGCTGTCATAATCTCAGCATTATTATCATAATTATGATACCAGACAACATAAATAAGATAAGAATATAACACGTCTGCACATGTCTATTTTTGGGCGAAACATTCAACATTTCTAGAAACCATTTCAGAAACACTAACGTCCAGGAAAGGCCATTAAATCTTCCTGGGCATTTTCGACATTTTCAGGAATGGTTAAAAATTAAAAATTTAATTAAAAAATATAAATTAACGCAACGGTGGCGGTTTTTTTTACGCATGTTCGAATTTTGTTTTCTAAAATGCGAAATAAAAGTTTTGCGCATCTCGGCTAGGAATAGTCCTAATAGATAGTATACCGTTGTCAGACACCGTATTGTGTTATATTGTATTGTATTGTATTATATCGTATCGTGTCGTATCGTATCATATCGTATCGCATAGCATTATAAGTACCGTAACGTCCCCTATTTTTTTGCATTGCATTGCATTCCATGATGTGGCGTGGCGTGGCGTGGCGTGGCGTGGCGTTGCGTTGAGTTGCGTTGCATCGCGTCTCATCGCATCGCATCGTCTTGTCTCGTATTGTATATTATTGCATTGTATTGCATTGTATTGTATTGCCGCTATTCGGAAGCTGAGTGTGTAATGTGTGACTGTTACCAGGGTTACGAGACTAGGGTCGGAGAGAGGGGAGCACAGCTGAGCGGGGGAGAGAAGCAGAGAGTTGCAATCGCCCGCGCCCTGGTACGCAACCCGAAGATTCTCATACTAGACGAGGCAACATCGGCTCTGGACGCCAACAACGAAAGGGTATTACAGACGTGTCCAAGCACATGGTTTATATACATAAACATTATATATATATATATATATATATATATATATATATATATATATATATTATACATTACGAGGTTACGTGTTCTCCAGGTTAAGGTATGTTAGAATGTTTGTAATTCACGATAGCCTTACTTGTGTTATGGTTATGGTACGTTACGTTTCCTTCGTGATGTTCTATCTCGTTATGTTACCTTTTGCATTTCACACATTTCTTTTCAATTGACATTGTACAATTACAGTTTTCATTGCAGTAGTAGTCTTTCACACTACGCCAATTATGTTCTCATTCGTCGCACTACTACGGCATTATTGAAGTGGCATATCCTATTTTCTACTTTCTTCTGAAATATATACATATCATAATTTGGGCGCGATATAGACCAGGCACCGCCGGATCTCCCACTAGTGCACATAAGGTACGGTTACGTCCGGGATGAGAAAGACAGCTGTTCCCACACATTATGTTTTGCAAACAAGGTAAAAAAAAATAGGTCTGTGGCTATGAAATACAATACATACTCATCGCATTATAGAATCCATAATATTATTTCCGCAACGACTTCTCTTACTAAGGATCCTTACTACATTACATTCGTTATCTACTCCTGCGCAGCTCTGGCTATCTTGCTATGCAACTTTGGCCCTGGCACCTGCTACAATGTTGTCAGTCGTAGCATCCAAATTAAATCGTGATATCGCTTATTCGATTATGGCTCTTTTCTCGAGGCTATACATTCTCTACTCTGACTGTCATACGCATCATTAGCCAACTCTCTATATCAATTCCCGACCAGTTGGCCATGTGTCAGTTAATTGTTACCATGAGCATCTATATCGCATTGACTCTTTTCAAGCAGCTTTAATAAAAAAAAACTTTCTACTACGATGTGCAATTAACCGTGCGTTAACTACACCTATAGAAAGGGACTTAGACACGTCGCGGTGTCTCTGGTGCGCTCAGACAAGTTAGACAAGACTCGGCTGCAACTTATTTAGCTAATTCTCGTGTGATTTCGCGGGATGACGCACATCACACCGAACGAGTGCGGCAGCTCTTGCTGTAAACATGTTATTAATCTAATTACTATCTCCTAATTATTTATAGAATAAAACGACAATGTTATTTTTAATGAGATTTTAATTTAAACATAATTATTTCCGCCCATTGGGTGTGTGTTTGTTGTTTCGTTTGCCCGGCTTTATGTCGTGTGATATCACGTGCGATGAATAGTGACGTTACGTGTGATGTGGCGTTAATGTTATGAGTTTGTTTTTCACGTCTAACGTTTAGCTACATGGTGATAACGCCAGCTCTATATATTGCAAACATGTACTCAGCCAGCAGCGCAAGCACTGGTCGAGCTCCGCACAACACGTCTTTTTTTCCACAGACCTCGTGTCGCAGATTTTTCGCCCTTTCTAGATTCGCGGGGGAGCGACCTTACACGTGACCTTACACGTGACGCTACGTGACGTCACGTGACCGTACACGTAACGTAAATGCAAATTCCGTGTTCGACATTCTTGGCTGTAGCCGACCTTGTCACGCGACTGCTGTGTGGTGACGAGATCTCGTGCTGCGTCTTGCGATTCTAATTAACCTTATTGTTCTAACACGGCAGGTGGTGCAAGAGGCTCTGGACGCTGCGCAGCGCGGTCGCACCAGCCTCGTCATTGCTCACCGATTCTCGACGATACAGAACGCTGACCGCATCGCTGTGATTCACAATGGTAGAATCGTGGAGGAGGGCACGCACCAGGCTCTGCTCGACCGCCGGCAGCGCTACTACGCCCTCTATAACGCGCAGTCTCCGGAGCATGCGCGCAGCGATTCGATAAAGGGCGCTTGGGTGCGCTTGTAATTAATTAGGGTCAAGAAATAGAGAAATTATATTAGTAGAATATATGAATCGAATATTAGATATATAAATAAATATATATATATTATATATATATATA